GCTATGAGTCAGAACGAACTCCATGGCACATAACCAACAACCAACATACATATGTTGTAGATGGTGAAGGTGACCCCTCCACCCAGGCCCATGGTCTGAGGGTTGACAACACCAGTGCAGAGCTCACCAACTGCTCCTTGTATAGGGATACAGGGTCGCTATGGGATGGAACCAACTCTACGGCACTCACAATACAACAACAATATGTGTACATCAGCACTTCATTTCTTTTACTGGCTTAATATTTCATTGTATGTATGTTCAAATTTTTATTTATTTACTAGTCTGTTGATGGCATTTAGGTTGTTTCTAGCATTTGACAGTTGTGAATATAGCTGTCATGAAAATTGATGAACAAGTCTCAATTTGAGGCTCTGCTCTTCAGTCTTTGGGGTATACTACGAACGGTGGAGTTGGTGGGTCACGTGCTAGTGGTGGCAAGGATGTGAAGTTGAAGCCTCACCCACTGCTGGTGGGGATGTGAGACAGATCAGCCACTGGAAAACAGGTCAAGTTGGAATTGACTAGACGGCAACTGACAACATCCATGTTGACTTCTGAAGTCTAACATCAATTAGTACTTTTCACCTCTAACTCCGCCTTGAGAGGACCTTACCCGCTGCTATCCAGTTAGCTCCCATTCACAGTGACCCCAAAGGACAGGGTAGAACTGCTCCATATAGTCCCCGAGGCTGTCAATGTTGATGGGAGCAGACAGACTTATCTTTCTCCCTCAGAGTGTCTGGGGATTTGAACCTCCCACCTCTTAGTGAGCAGCCCGATGCTTAACCCACTGTGCCACCATGGCTCCTGTATATAGCAAGGGACCAGGTCGATGGCATTGTACTCTGCAATGTGTCGAGCACCATGGACCCAAGTCCCCGGCATAGAGGGAATCTGGGGAGGGGAATGACGGCTCCCTCTGTGTGTGCCCCTAGAACTATCCTGCAGCAGCATGGCTCACCCACGGACGCTGCCATCGCAGCTCTGCTCTGCACTGGTGTTGTCAACCCTCAGAGCATGGGTCTGGGTGGAGGGGTCATTTTCACCATCTACAATGCAACTTCAGGTGAGCCCCAGGGCCCCCATGGTGAGAGGGTGGGCTTATCCACTAGTACTTGGAAACCTGAACGTACCTGCCACGTGCCACTGGCCCACCACCACCCCCTTCACGGCTGCATGTATAAAAGCCCATCTCATGGGTCAGAGAGGGAAACCGAGGCCTAGAGTAGGCAGGGCCCTCTGAGGAGTGAAGTCTGGCGTGGGCAGGGCATCCTTGACCACCCACACACTCTGCCCCGGCTCTAGGGAAGGTGGAGATCATCAATGCCAGAGAAACAGTGCCCAGCAGCCCGGTTCCAGACCTCCTGGACCAGTGTGAGCAGGCCCAGCCGCTGGGCACAGGTGAGGCAATGGAGGGGCCCTGCCCCTACCCTCCATGCCCTGGGGCTGATCAGAACTCTGCCTGAGGGGGCGGCGCAGCTTCCAGAAGAGCCATGACACCTGGCAGTAGGTGACATACCACACAGAGAGGTCCAGAAGTGTCAGTAGAGAGGGCCATGATGCTTTGTGAGGGTCAGTTTGGGGGGCAAAGGGCAGTAGGGAGCTACAGGAGACTGAGCAGGAGGGTCAGGTATATGCATGCTCCTGAGAGCTTGCGCTGGCTGCTATGGGAGCATGGCGCACAGGGCCCCTGGCATGGACCTGGAAGGCCAGAATGGTGACACATCTGCCACGCAGGGGTCCGCTGGATCGGGGTCCCCGGGGAACTCCGTGGCTATGCTGAGGCCCACCGCCGCCATGGCCGCCTGTCCTGGGCACAGCTATTTCAGCCCACCATTGCTCTGCTACGTGGGGATCACCGTGTGCCCTCCATCCTCGGCCGCTTCCTGAGCAACAGTTTCCTGCGGCCTTTCCTGCTCTCCTCGTCTCTGAGGTGAGCTCATATGTGAGCTGCCACATCCTGTCCTGTTGGGGACACTGGAGACGTTCGGTGACTGGGTGGCACATGTAGACCTAGGGGTGCCCCGTGCCAGAACCTAACTCCGAGCAGGGTTCTGGGACCAAAGCTGGATCTGCCTTCCAACATTGGCCACTTTTCACTCTCTGGGAGGTGGCAAGAGGGCTCACACACTGCCCCCTAAGGGCCACAGATGATGAGGGTAGCACTCCCCACCCAGTCCTGGAAAGTCTGTTCCCTATGTCCACCCTGGTCCCTCAGGGCTGCCCTCCCCCCCTTCAGGCAGCTCTTCTTCAATGGAACAGAGCCCCTGAGGGCTCAGGACCCACTGCCATGGCCTGCCCTGGCCTCTACCCTGGAGACTGTGGCTGCAGAGGGTGCAGAGGCCTTCTACACGGGAGCACTGGCCCAGATGCTGGTGGAGGACCTAGCCAAGGAGGGTGAGCACGCTCAGGGTCTCGTCACACTGCAGGAGTAAGCTGTCCTAATGTCCAAGGCCAGGCATCTTGCCAAGTTCAACAAGACATGTACCTCGCCCAGCCCTGAGGTGAAAGTCCTCCCTTTAATGCCAGCAGAAGGCTCAGTGATGGCTGCTTCGGCTCATGGGTCTGGAGGCTGGTCAAGGCTGTCCAGGGCCTGCCTGGGGTGGAGGTGCCCTCTGCAGTCTCCTGGAGGACTGGCCTCTCAAACTCCCCTGTCCAGCCCCCTGCCTCTCGTCTTTGCCCACTCATCCCACCTCTGGTGCCACGCCCACTGCCCCCTTATCACCCTGCTGCTTAGCTGTTGCATGCTGGTCTGGGGGATGGCCCTTTCTGCCTTAGTTTCCCCATATGTACACCTGACCAGGGCTGGGGCACACTGTACCTTCTCCATCTCACCCCAGGGAGCAGGCTGACCTTGCAAGACTTGGCTGCCTTCCAGCCTGAGGTGGTAGAAGCCCTGGAGTTGCCCCTGGGGGACTACACCTTGTATTCACCGCCACCACCAGCAGGGGGTGCAGTTCTCAGCTTCATCCTCAACGTGCTGAGGGGTAAGGGCTCCGCCCCCTGCCAGAGCCCTACTCCAAGGGCCGTCTGGGATCTTGAGAAGACACTACCCTTTTCCAGCTCAGTCCCCTCCTCTGTTCATTGGACCCAGTGGAAACAAGTCTCAACGGGGCTTGGGGAGAGCCATCACTGCCCTGGGGCTAGGATGAAGCTTTGCTGAGGGTCTGACATCACTGCCCACCACTGGGTCTGTCCACTTCCCCCACTGAATGACTACCTCAGGGTACCAGAATAGGTGGGCCTAGAGGTGGTGAGGGTCTATCAGGGGTGAGAACTGCAGGTGGCACAGGTGGTAGAGCATCTTGGCCATATCTGGGCTTGTTGTGTGGCCCACTAACAAAGTGCCACACAAAGGATGGCTTCAAATGACAGAAAGCAATTCTCTCTCAAATGTGGAGGCTGCAAGTCTAAGATCAAGGGGTTGGCAGGGCCTTGCTCCCTCCAGAGTTCCCAGGTGAGAGTCTGTATTTGCCTCTTCGGGCTTCAGCTGGCATTCCTGGGCTTGGGCCTGCATCACTCTGATCTCCGCTCTGTCTTCACATGGTCTTCTCATGCTCTCTGTGTCTCTGTTTTATAAAGACACACGTGATGGCATTTAGGGCCCACCCAAATAATCCAGGAGGAAAGCCTCTTCTCAAAACCCTTAAATTAGTCATATATTTTACCATGTAAGTTAACACTCTCAAGTTCCAGGAATTACCAAAAAAAAAAACTTCACTTCTGACTTTCAGCACTGGACTCCAGCGAATCAATCACAAGGTCAACAGTTCAAACTCATCAACTGCTCTTTGGAAACCCTACACAGGGTCGCGATGAGTCAGAACTGACTCAACGGCACTTAACAACAACAACATAGGACAGAGTAGAACTGCCCTGGAGGGTTTCCAAGACTGTCAACCTTTCGGGGAACAGACTCCCTCAGCTTTCTCCTAAAGAACAGTGTTTTAACCGCTACACCACCAGAGCTCCTTTGTCAGTACGTAGTATATTCGCGATTTTTCAACAGCACCATTGTTTACATGTGTCAATTTCTTCTTCCTTTTTCATTGCTCAGCTTTTGCACAGGCAATTTACAAGGACCATGGCTTTGGTCCTTAGTATAAACTCAACCCAATCCTTTGCCATCAAGTCTGTTCCTACTCATCACAACCCTATTAGGACAGAGTAGAACTTCCCCTGAGGGTTTCCGAGACGGTTAATCTTTACTGAAGCAGACTGCATCATCATTTTTCCATGGAGCCGGCCGGTGGGTTCAAATTGCTGACCTTTCAGTTAGCAACCTAAAGTTTTTTGATGGGGTGACCTAGGGCCCCAAGCCAGCCCACTATTCAACACAGGGTGACCCCAGCTGCTCCCCCTCCACAACACCTCCCAGGGTTCAACTTCTCCTCGGAGTCTACGGCTAGTCCTGAAGGGCGTGTGAACGTGTACCATCATCTGGTGGAGACACTCAAGTTTGCTGGGGGGCAGAGGTGGCGCCTGTGGGACCCTCGGAGCCACCTGGAAGCCCAGGTGAGGTGGTCTGGGGCAGTGTGAGGGGAGGTTAGCCTGTGACCCTCAGGCCAAGAGTCCCAGGCAGCTGATAGAGGTATAAAGAGGCATGTATGGTTCCAGGCAGGGGCCCAGGACAGGGAGGAAGCAGTGGGACCCCACTGACCCTGCACATCTATGTCCCTCTTTCCAGAATGCCTCCCAGGATCTGCTAGAGAAGACCCTGGCCCAGTACATCCGCCAGCAGATTGATGCCCGAGGGGATCACCCGCTAAATCACTACAACTTGGCTGGGCACGGGGGCCAGCTGATGGGCACAGCCCACGTGTCGGTGCTGGGGGAGGATGGTAGTGCCGTGGCTGTTACCAGCACTATCAACACACCGTGCGTGCGTGGGCCCAAGGGACAGGCAGCCTGTCTTTTGTTCCCTGGATCTTAAGCCTCCCCCCCCTCAACAAGTTGGCCAGGAACCCACCCCACCCCAGTGTCCCTGGGCTGTCCCCAAGCAGGGACAGCTGAGTTTTCTTCTTTCCTTCCTCCGTCTGTCAAAGTGCACCCCTCCTGGTCCTACCCCAAGTTGCTTGTGGTGGTTCTAAGTCTACCCAGAAAGATTACTGATAAAGGGATGGATGGGGCTATGGGGACCCTCCTAGGTAGTGCTGGGAGGGGGGCGGGTCATAGCTTCATGTACTGAAGGCAGCTGCTACAATGATGGAGTCTTAGAAGGGTTGCCCAGCAGTCCTGAGTGCCCTAAGAATCCAAGATGGGGATACCCAACTTCTGCTCCATATCTGCAGCTTTGGTGCAATGGTTTACTCTCCGCGGACGGGCATCCTGCTCAACAATGAACTCCTAGACTTATGCTGGAGACGCCCATCAGGCTCTGGCATCACCCCCCAACCTGGTGAGAGCAAGGGCCTCTAACACCTCTTCCCCAGGTTCCCCATAGCTCAGCTGGGGCCAGGAAGTCACCACACTGTGCTGTAACACAGCTTGCTAGTGGTGAATAGGGACAAAGAAGGAAGGCATGGACTCAAGAGGTGATGCCTTGAGTGATACTTGGTCTGACCCCCAGTTCCAGGTGAACGGCCTCCTTCATCCATGGTTCCCTCCATCTTGGTCAACATGGCTCAGGGGTCAACGCTGGTGATTGGCGGGGCTGGCGGGGAGCTTATCATCTCTGCCGTCACCCAGGTGAGTCTCGGGACCCCTGGCTGGAGTGTCCCCTCTTTGGGTGGCCCCTTCATCCTACTCCCTGGGAGCGTGAGGACTGTGTTGCTCCCTCTCAGAGTCTTTCTTCTCTCCTCAGGCCATCATGAACAAGCTGTGGCTTGGCTTTGATCTGAGAGCAGCCATCACCGCCCCCATCCTACATGTCAACAGCATGGGTCGTGTGGCATACGAGCCCAACTTCAGCCAGGTGAGTCTAAAGTCCTCAGAGTGCCAGGTCTTCAGAAGAGACTTCTCAGACTAAAAACCTGAAAGACTTAGCAAAGTCTAAGATCCTGAGCTTCTCCGAGTGTGGTCTGAGCCACACCTAGATTGATTACTTGGGGAGGAGGCCCCTCTAAGTACATGCTTCTCAAAGCTTCCTGGGAGAATCCCAGGTACTAACTGACTGATGTTTTAATTCTGGGGGAGGCACAGGCCAGCCCTGGGGATCCAGGGTGGTGTTGGGAGTGTTTCCATGCTTCTCCTAGGCTAAGGACTTCAGTGTCTTGGTCCCCAGGTCTGCTTATGCCATCCTCTGGGAACTATTATTTCCCGGATATTCTCTCTCAAAATCTTCCTCATGGTGACTTATTTTCTTGTGCAATTTGCAACATGCCTTTTTGAGTTCATTGGTCAACAAGTTGTTTGTCCCATGGCAATCTGAAGAAGGATTTTGTTCTAGAGTATTGGAAATTGGACTGGTCTTCATTTCTGTTTTAGTTCCCCCTCTAAAGCCCATGGCAGGTCTGAATGCACTCGGTGTGCCTTTTCCCCCTCCAGAAAGGTGGTCAGCTTCCTCAGAGTTCCTTTGGGCTGGTGAATGCCCTTTGATAGAACCTATTTAAAAGACCAGCAGCTTTTCAAGGCTCCAAGCTTTATATACCTGGGGTCAGTCAATTCAGTCAGCTGGGGCTCAAGGTTCTCAAAGTTGTCTTTCCTGTTGTGAGTCTCTCTTGCGCTCAACGCTCCTTCCATGACCCTTCTCTGAGGACTATAGATGGAGGGGCATTTGGTCCAAGAGAGGTATAATCTCTTCAGGTCTTGGAACTCAGGACGCGAGCCCATCAAGTTCAAATTCTCAGAGTCTGAGGCCCTCCCTGAGTAGGGTCCTCTCAGTGGTGGGAGGACTCTGCATACTCCCTTGGAACCCATAAGTTCCAGGGGTTTTAGGTGTGAAGAAGCTCAGGATCTTAGGCCCTTCCATCTTGTGCCTATGCTGTCTTTTGTCTGTGACGTCTATACTGAAGACCTGTCACTCTGAGGACCTTAGACTCTGAGAATTTGGGAGATGATAGTCTGGAATCCAGGGTTTGTGGACTCTAATAACTGACCAGTCTTTCAGGAGTCAGAATGTTGGCTGTTCAGGTCTCATGTTCTCCCACTGAGAAAATCCTAGACTCTGGGCTTAGAGACCTTGAGTCTCCAAGGACATTCACAAGCAAGACCCAAGACTGAGGCCAGGACTTCGTGACTCATGGCCTTGAATTTGACTACTAGACTCTAAGGAATGTAATCTCCGAGGACTATAGGTCCTGTGGCTTTTGTAGTAAGGACCTGGGACTTCAAGAACATTGGGCAGTTAATGAGCAGGTACAGAGAAACCCAATCAGAGGGTGTAGCACTTCAATCATCTTGTTCCTCCTAGAGGTTCAGGTAGTATGGTCTCCTAAGAATCAGAGGCCTCGCTCATCCTCAGGACACAGAACATTGGGAATGTTGTTCCTAAGTGTCTTTGGAATCTAGGACCCTGGTGGAGTGGGCTAAGGTTTCCATCTGTTGGTCTAAAATGGTTATCTAGATATGTAAGGCCTGGTCAGGATTTTTGCCCCTTTGCAGACTGCTGCCTGGGACCCATCATTCAAGGTGGTATCTTAGAAACCAACACTGCAGGGTTAAGGTCTTTTGTCTTGGTTTCTAACCCCTTCTGATTTCACAGACTCCATGTCTAGGACCTGAGCCTGTAGGACAGGAGTGAGGAACCCTTTTTCTGTCAACATTTGCCATCATTTGCAGGCCATACAAAATTATCAACTTAAAAATTAACCTGCTATATTTGGTCAAACATTTAATTAACTCATTCCTAATGTGATGACCCATAGTGGTTATGAATCGGGCTGTGAAACTCAGGTTCAGCAGTTCGAAACTACCAGCTGTTCCATGGGAGAAAGATGAGGCTTTCTGTCCCTGTAAAGATTTACAGCCTCAGAAACCCTGTGCAGGGTCACTATGAGTCGGAACCGAAGCCACAGCACATAACAACAACGATGTGATGACTGGAATTGCATGTGCCATGGCAGGGCCAGACCAAATTATTTTGTGGGCCTTATACACCCCTGCTTTCGGGCCTCACACTCTGAGTAACTCAGACTCTAGGGCCACTGGTATCATTAACTTAGGTGTCACTTTGCTTGGACAATTGGGTGCTCAGAATGAATGACATCTGTGGTTCTGGGTCCTTCTCTTAGCTTAATCCCCAGCCAGTAGGATCCTAAACTAGAGGGACGGTGAGCCCTGAGGAGTTTGACTATTATGTTCTTGGGTGTTGAAAGTCTCTAATCTCATGTATTAAGGTCTCAGGTCTTCTTTTCTGTTTGTGTTGGGATCTCAGGTCCTATGTTCCTGGTATCAAAGGTCTCAAGTCTAGTGTGTGTCAGGATCTTAGATTCGGTGTTCCTGGGTGTCAAAGGTGCCAAGTCTCCTCTTGTCTATTGGGTCCTATACAGCACAATAGTGCTCAAGTTGGTGGATCCTGGATACCTGGCACTTGAACCTCTTCCTTCTCAATGTCTGGAGGTTCCTGGGTATGATGAACCTGAAGTAGGGAGATTGTGAGACCTGAGACTCCAAAGGTCCTAGCCTCTCCCTTCTAGAGAGTTCTGCTTACAAGGTCCTCAGAACAGTGGGCCTTTCAAGCCAAGTCCTTAGATGTTGCTTCCTTTACCAAATGTGCCCAGCATGTTTCAAATCTTGCATTCTAAGAACCTTGGTGTCCTGAGACCCAGCACAGAGGTGAATTTGCATCTCAAGGTCTTTCTGGCCAAGGGACCTGTGTCAAGTCCTCTGGCCATATTCCCTGGAGACTTTGATCTGTTTAGGCCACAGACTCCCTGTACTCCAAGCCAGACTGACCATGGCTGTCTCCAATACTCTGCCAGTCCACAATCCTTCCTGGGAAAGTCTCAGGATCTGAGGACTGGATATTGTCCTACATTTTCAGTTGATTTTCTCAGGTTCCTGCTCCAGATTCTCTGGAGGTGGACTGAAACTCCATGCCCCTGTGAACCCACCTTCTCTCTCCTCTAGGAGGTGCAAATGGGGCTCCGGGACAGGGGCCAGAATGAGACTAGGATACCCATCTTCCTGAACGTGGTCCAGGCTGTGTCCCAGGAGGGGGCCTGTGTGTTCGCTGTGTCTGACCCAAGGAAGGATGGGGAGGCCGCAGGCTACTGAGGAGAAGTGCCCTGTGAGAGCCAGACTCCGCCCTGCTGTCTCTCCGAGCTCCAGCTGACTCTCTAACTCTAGATCCGGGGCTGGAAAAGGTGGAGACCAGCCTGCTGGAGGGTGAAGACTGGTGCTGAACCTCCTCCCTGATCCCTGCCTCCAGCTCTGGCCCCTCTCTCACCGTCCCCAGGTCACTCATCCAGGCCTCCCAGCCCACCCCCTCTGGCTTCACGTACCTCTGTATATCATCCAGTCCAACATTAAAGTGAAGGCCCGGCTCTGGAGGCTCTGGGTGCAGTCCTCATAAAGCACTGTCTGTGGGTGAAGCCCTGAGCTCTTGCCATCTTCTACACACTCCAGTGTGGGAAAACTGAGGCCCCATCTTCACCCCATTCCATCCAATCCATCCCAGTGTTAGCCGAGCACAGCTAGGGGGCAGTCTGTTGAGCCTGAGTCTTGTCCTCCTTTAGACCTAAACCACCTGTAGCCCCAACAACCCACATTCTCACCCTGGTGCTATTGATGTCTTGGGTCAGATGATATTTTGTAAAGCGCTGTCCCCAGTGTAGGATATTGAGCAGTACCCTTGACCTTCACTCATTAGATGCCAGTAACCTCATCTCCACCCCCACCCCCAGGTTGTAACAACCACAAATGCCTTGTTGTTATTGTTGTTATGTGCCGTGGAGTCAGTTCTGACTCATAGCGACCCTGTACAGGGTTTCCAAGGCTGTAAACCTTTACGGGAGCAGAAAGCCTCATCTTTTGGAACAGCTGGTAGTTTCGAACTTCTGACCTTTCAGTTCACAGCCTGATTCGTAACCACTACGCTCCCAGAGTCACTCCCAAATCATCCTGGGTGATTCTAGTCTAACAAGCCCCCACACTGCTGTGAACGACTTTGTCTGCTGTCAGACTGTCATGGGCGCCCTCCCACCCACAATCCTGGTTCCTAGAGGCATCAGAATTCCTGTCGCACACCAGATTTCCCTCAGGGGTGAACCTCTGTCCATGGAGGGCTGAGGAGAGCTTCTCAGATCAAATCACTGCCATTCAGAAGAGTTTTCTGGGACCACCATAACAAATGGCCACAATAGACATATACTCCTTCGGGGTCTGGAAGCCAGAAGTCTGAAGCCAGAATCACTGGGCCGAGATCAAGCAGAGGTTCCAGAGGGGAATCTGTCTTTTCCTCTTTAGGCTTCAGACGGCTGCTGGTGTCACTGAGTTTGTGGCTGCCTTGCTCCCAGCTCTGCTGTCTTCACACGGCCTTCTCTTGCTTTCTGTGCATTTAAAGCCCACCCAACTAATCCAAGAGAAATGCCTCCTCTCAAAATCCTTAAATATAAATTAACACTTAAATTCTGAGAATTACCAAAAAGCCCAACCCAGTGCCATTGAGTCGTTTGTGACAGAGTAAGAACTGTCCCATTTGGCTTCCAAGACTGTTAGTCTTTATAGACTCAGACTGCATCTTTCTCCCTCAGAGCAGCTGGTGGGTTCGAATTACAGACCTTTCAGTTAATTGTGGTTCACCTAAAGGTTGTATCACCAGGACTCCTGTGGCAGGCCACAGTATAGTCACTATTTTTCACTAACACCACAGTTTGAATGTGTCAGCTCTTCATGCTTTTTCATGCCCAGCATTTGCATGCCAATGAGTTGACAGGTTTATACTGCTTCATCAGTAGTATCAACCCAACCCAATCCACTGCTGTGGAGCATTTAGGGCCCACTGAAATAATCTAGACTTACCTCTCTCCCCACCTCTTGATACTGCCCATAATCACAGTTGCAAGACACTTTTGCATGGAAAGTAACAGCCACAGGTACCTTGGAGGAGGGTAGGCTGCGCCAAAAGATTGTAGGTTCAAGTCCACCCAGAGGTACCTCAGAAGAAAGGCCTGGCAATCGGTTTCTGAAGTATCACTGAAAATGCCATGGGGCACAGTTCTAGTCTGACACACACGGGTTTGCCCTGAGTCAGTATTAACTCGATGGCAACTGTTTGGTTTGTTCAGCCTCCTACAAGTGATGGGGAGGGGCAAGACTCTGGTTTGGGCTTGACAGGTGAGGGGTGGGTGCTAGTCTGAGAGATACAGGCAGGCTAGGGGAAGAGTGGCTGTTTGAGGTGAGTGGTCCCATCTGCCATTGTGGCAGAGTCCTACTGTTAACACGCAAGCCTGCATGCGGACACCAGCTTCCCCATGGGGTTGGACTTTGGAAGGGTGAGTCTGGCTCAGGAATCACAAGTGCAGTAAAGGTTGGTTCAGGTGGAAGAGGGGAGTTACTGAAGTTGAGGTGCTTCAGATATGGTGAGATCCAGGGGCTGTGTGTTGGTCTTAACCCAGACAGACTCCTGGCCACCATCACCTAGGTCTAGCACCTCCATGGAACTTGACAGAACTTCTCTCTGCCCCACCCCTGTGGTCATCAGCTCAAAGGGGGTCCAAACCAAATCCAATGCCATTGAGTTGATTCCAGTTCACAATGACCCTATAGGACAGGGTAGACCTGCTCCACAGGAATCTCAAGACTGTACTTTTTTTTTTTCATTTTTTGTTGTGAATTGACTGAAGGTTTATAGAGCAGATCATCAGTTTTGCAAAACCTTTGCCTGCATTTTTTTTTATATTCAACAAATCATATACTTCATTTCATTTCAATTGATTGCAATCCCCTCATGTAATGTCAGTTATCCCACTTCCTCCTTGTGAGGCCTGTTCCCATTCAACCCTCTTTCCCAACCCTTCAGACCTTTTTCCTTAGGTAAAAGCTACCCTTTGATCCTGAATGGTAGAATAAGCACTGGATTGCAAAGTCAGTGGTTCAAACCCACCAGCTGCTCCTCAGAAACCCTATACAGGGTCGCTATGAGTAGGAACTGACTCGATGATACTTAACTACAACATATCTTATAAAATGTTGTTATATATATTGCATTCCCAATCACATGAGTTAACATGTGTCTACCCTCTA